GACGTGGACGACGAGGACGTGGACGACGTGGACGACGAGGACGTGGACGACGAGGACGAGGACGAGGACGATGAGGATGGAGGACGAGCAAGGACAGAGGACGAGAGAGGTTTTGCGCAATGGGCACGTAGCGCCCTTGACTTCCAGCGCGCCCGCCCGCCGGGCTGCGGTGTGCGGCGGTCTGCCTATCTTCCAGACCACAGGCGCCATGTGCCCCGCCCAGCAGCGGCGCCTGGCTGGGCCGGTGTGGCGCCACACCACTGCGCGCCGCAGGCTCGATTGCTTTCGATCGCGCCATCTGGCACGGGGCCGGCCGCCCACTTTTCAGCCTACAATTGTTTGAAGAATAAAATTAAAGATTAAAAAATAATGAAATTTAAAAAACTAATTTCTTTTCGTCTGCAGCTGCACAACGTGAACGTGCCGTTGCGCATCCTGAGGACGCCGCACGCGCGCCGCGCCCTGTTCCTGGGCGCCGCGCTCGCGGGCTACCAGCAGCTGGCCGGCATCAACACGGCCATGTACTACAGCGCCACCATCATCAAGATGGCGGGCGTGGGCAGCAACTCGGCGGCCATCTGGCTGTCGGCCGGCACGGCGGGCGTCAACTGCGTCTGCACCGTCGTGGGCATGTTCGTGGTGGACCGCATGGGGCGGCGCGTGCTGACGCTGTGCTCGCTGTTCGGCGCCGGCGTGTCGCTCGCCATCCTGGGCGGCGGCTTCCTCATGATGGACCACACGGCGCCCAAGATCACCGAGACCAGCGCCCTGGCGGGAGCCTGCGCAGCGTACATGTGAGTACAACGAGGCCATCGTCGACGCACCCACAGGACGAGCGTGGGTCGTGTTCGTTCTCGGTGACCAAAAACACTCCGGAAAAAAATTAGAAAAACAATTAAGGCAAAAATTTACAAAAAAAAAGACAGGAAAATAAACAGATTTTTTTTTTAGAAAAATTAAGGGAAAAAATAAGAAAAATTAGAAAAGTTTCGAAAAAATAGAAAAAAGTGGTGTACGCTTGAAATTATGGTAGGAAGTGACCCTCGTCCTCGACTTGCTTGACCAACTCTATGGACCTCCTGTGCAGGACCTGCGGCGAGTGCACGAGCACGCGCCACACGTGCGGCTTCTGCATGCTGGGCAACGGCACGGGCTCGTGCTGGCCCTTCGACAAGGACTCGGAGCTGGCGCTGGGCGGCGCGTGCATGACCCCCGCGGGCGCCGACCTGGCCGCGGGCGCCGAGTGGGCCGTCGGCTACTGCCCCTCGGACTACTCGTGGGTGGCCGTGGCCGGGCTCGTCATCTACCTCTTCTGCTTCGCCCCAGGTACGGACAAAGATAGCCCCCAAAACGACGTTTTGTTTGGTTTTTTCGTTTGGATCGTTATTGCAATTTGGCGTTATGTTTTTATTTTGCAGGCATGGGCCCCGCTCCGTGGGTCATCAACTCCGAGGTTCACCCCCTCTGGGCTCGCGACGTGTCCAACAGTATCTCCACCTCCACCAACTGGCTCTTCAATCTCATCGTGTCCCTGTCCTTCCTGTCACTCGTTGACGAAATCGAAGCTTATGGTACGTCGACGATGCGCGCGAAGTTTAATTACTTTTTAGGAAAAGAGGAAAAAAACCCAGCTGCTGTCCAGTTTGACTCACAATCGTTTCTCTCTGCGCAGGCGCCTTCTTCCTCTTCTCGGCCGTCACCTTCACCGGCGTGGTGCTGTTCTGGTTCATCATGCCCGAGACCAAGGGCCTGACGCTGGAGGAGATCCAGGGCCTGTTCGGGGCCGACATGGAGAAGACGGGGGCGACCGGGGACGGCTCCAAACCTCCTCACAATAACATACAGTAAGTAGCGCATTGGCATTCTACTGTGAAAAATATCTTCGTGAAGTTCGACAACGTTTCAATGACGATTTGACTCCTATTTCCCACTGGACAAAATTTTAAACTACAATCTCGTTAATGAAGCCCATTTTGTCCTTGTTTTAGGGTTGTGAAAACCATCGAGCTGTAAATGAAGAGGCGATACGACTGGGTGCGGAGTAAGAGGAGGTTCGGTGCAGCGGCGAAGGGTGATGGCTGTCTGCATTCCTGTGCTGTGATATTTTGTTTCTCTCTTTTGTAGTTTTGAAAAGAGGAAAGAGTGGAATGGATTGTGATGGGAATGGTTGTGTTTTGTAAGTGATTGTGTGTGTGTGTTTATCTAGTCAATGTGTGATGTTTTCACTGTCCGGCCGTTAGCGCTGGTGGTAGAAGGAGTCACGTAGTACAAAAGACTTCATGGAGTGATTTTGCACTTTTAGATTTGAAATCTATTAATGTGAGCTATTTTGTGTAAGCCGTTTGCCTTACCACCTGGGCAATCTACTGATCTTGTCTTACTAACGGGTGCGTCTCTAACTCTGATTGTCATCAGTGTTGTTTTGCTAAAAGTCTGAAACCTACATATTAGTTCAGTAGTACGAATTTTATGAAGTTACGTGTACCTCATCATAATTATATAGGTAATAAGTGGTTAAAGGCACTTCGTTTTTTGCTCGAAATTACTGAGTTAAGTGTACTCAATCAGTAATTAATGAAAAGTTACCACGAAATCGTAGTAAGGTATTTCACTGGCAGTGTCTGCAATCATTTTATGTCAGCTTGTGTGTTTAGCATATCATGATCATAAACTTTGCTAGTATTTAACGCATCTATCTAAAAGAGATTTTTTTGTTTAAAATTAGAACATAACTAATTGTGTTCTTTCAAGATTCATGTTTCAAACGTCTCATATGAGTGTCATACTTGTCTTTGTTAAACCTCGATGTTTGTTGTTTTAAAAGTTTTCATTAATTTCACCACTGTGCTCGTCTATTTTATATTGTTTATCATATGTTACGAAAAGTGTTATTTTATTAAAGAACTCTATATAACAAATGTGTGCTCTGCTCATCTTTTGCCCGGGGTCTCTCTACTCTCCTTTCACCACAGTCGCCGTACGCATCCACCACATAGAGCGTGTTCCTTGGAGCGTTGCGCACGCATTGGAAGAAATAAACTTCGTCTGCAAAATAAAGAGCTCCGTTCCGTGTCCAAAAGAGGCGCCCTATACCCTCTCGTCGGCCGCCCTCCACACTCACACAAGAACGGGGTTGCCGGCGGATATGCGCGGGGGAGCACGAAAAGGCCTGCCCGAGTCACATGCATCCAAAAGCTCACTATACGAATCTGCTTTTTGCCATGATCCCCCCCCCCCCCTTTACGGCACCGCTCACTTGGCAACTCCATGTTACTTCCGGTTGCGCCTGCCTGCAAGCAGAGGAATAAGAGAAAAGGGGAAAAGGGGGATAGAGTGAGAGAGAGAGAAAGAAAGGGGAGGGGGGCTTAGGCACGAAGATCTGGTGCAGCTAGGAAATCACCACCCCTTCCTCACCACCGTAGAGACACCGGTTTACAGTGGCGCCCATCGTATGGTTACGGTGGTGACAAGTCACCACCGTCCCTCAGCTAAGGTAGGTAGGTAGGGCAAGTAGAAGGTAGGTGAGGGAGGGGAAGGAAGAGAAAGGGAAAAGAGAAAAGAGAAAGAGAGGAAAAAGAAAGGAAAAGAGAAGAGAGAAGAGAAAGAAAGAAAATGAGAGGAAAGGGAGGTATTCATAAAGGTAATAATGAGTCCAGCCCCGGCCCCGGGCCCCGCGGCTCGGGGCCCGGGGTTGTGGCCCAGCCGAATCAAACAGCACCAACACTGCGGCCTGAATGCATTTCCCATCAGCTGGTTCAACAACTTGGCTTGCCACAAAGCATCGCATATTTATTGGCATGCAACTCGCAATTTGAACGAAATTTCCCTCTTCCTTTTACCATTTTAAAGTAGTTAAACTTTTGTGTCGAGTTCAGCACGCCTCTTCATATGAAATTTTCCGCTCGCTTCGCTCGCGATTCCTTTCCAATTTCATGGCACTTGGAGCTATGTTTTCCCCGATCAGTCTGCTCGTGACCTTACGGCTTGTTGCTCTTTGCTACGGAGTCTAATTTTAATCACCCTTTGTTGCCTATTATTTAAATATTTAACTTTTTGCACACAATACTAATCTTAAATTTTACCAAAGCAAAGAACACGAAACACAAAATTTTCGCTCGCTTCGCTCGCAGATTCCTCTTACGTTGGCTCGTGCCGCATGTATTCCGTACTTGCTGTCAGTTAGTAATTATTTTGAAAATTTTGTAAATTTCATTAGGTGCTTCAATCTAGCCATACCCTCAATCAGGGAAAATAGGGAATAAGTTGGCGTTTAATCAACAAAAAAAATGAGCCCCTAAAAGTAGGCAACCCTAGTGTTGCGCGCCCAAAATTGGCCGTAAAGGTAGGTAGGTTACGCCTTAAAGGTAGGTAGCAGTCCCCTCAGTCACCACCGTCTCCAGATACGATGGGCGCCACTGCCGGTTTACACCTTGGGTGTTTTGCCGGCGGCACCACTTACCAGCCACAGCCAGTAGTCAGTAGTAGGGCGCATTGAAGCGAAAGGGTAAAGCAAACGTTGTGACAGAAGCCCGTCTGGGCTCGGACCGGAAGGGGAAGGGGGTCGGGGGTCAGGCGGGTCGGGAGGCAAAAGGTAAGGTCGTGTGCGACGTGCAAGGTCAGCAGGCGCGGGGACGGGTCCCGCACGGCGCCGCCGCCGCCACCACCGCCGTCGTCGTCTTCCGGTCCTCCTCACGGATCTGCGCGCTGGCCCGTTTCTGCCCTCCTCATCCCCCCACCCCCGCCCCACCCTCGCCCCGCACGCCGGCGGGGGCGTCGCGGCGCCTGGCGTCGGGGGGCGGGGACCAGTCCAGTCGGGAGCGCGGCGCTCGAGGCGTCGGGACCGCCCCCCCTGACGGCAGGCCGAGCCACAGCAGCTGCGGCGGGCAGCGCCCCGCGAGCGAGAGCACGCGCGCGCACGGCGAGAGCGAGCACGCGCGGCGGCCTAGGCGCCACAAGCGCCCGCCCCGCCACCTGCAGCTGCCACACCTGGGCCCGGCACCTGCAGCTGCGTAGTGCTAGCGCCAGGCGAGCGAGAGCAAGCGCCCTTCCGTATCCGTACCAACAGCGAGAGTGAGCACGCAGCACGGCCCGCCCACCACCTGCAGCTGCACACACCTGGGAATCCCGACTACTTGCAGCTGTGGCATCCGCGAGCTACCCTGTCAGCTGCCAGTGTGGACCTATACCCCCGACCGGTTACACCAGCGCAGCGGCAGTCACATCTGCCGATCCCGCGAACGTTTGACTCGCAGCTACGACAGCTGCCGCACCTGACTCGGCCCGGTGTTTCCCGCCACTAACCTGCACTCCCAGCCAACCTCCAGCAGCTGCACCAGACTCTAATCCAGTGGGTTGTGTCACGTGGCCCACCTGCGGCAGCTGCGACACCTGAGCCGGAGTGCGTAGCCGGCCGCGGAGTGGACACCTCGGAGCAGATGCCGGCCCGGCCCCCGGGAGGTAAGCACGACGACCCTGAAGGGAGGAAAAAAACAACACACGAACAGAAAATGAGACGTCGTAGGCGGCAAGGGATGGGGAGTGAACGCGTGAAATATGAAACTTGTTGAATCGCCCTTGCGAGTCAGCCTGAGGACGGGGACTAACCCACTTGTTCCGCGTTTGCGTCGGGTCAGGTTTGCGTCTCCTCTGTCTCCTCAGTGTGGTTACCTTTCGCCTTGCTCACCGAGTTCGCAGGGCCGTAACCCTACACGCCCCCTGTTTTCTTGTTTGCTCTATGCCCACACGAGTTGTTTGTTTATTATGAGATTCAGAAGATTCTTGCCTCCCTTTGGCCCTGTTTGATCACATCAATGTACATGCAAGTAAAAAAGGGGATAACAAAAAAAGATATTTTGCCCCCTATAAGAAAACCTCCCCAACTTAAAAAAAAATAAAAATAGGGATGGCTACAATTTTTACATTTTATTTTTTAACAGATCGATGCAAAGTTTCGTGAAACTCATAATGTGCGGGGTGAGCCGAGTGTAAGTGAAAAAAAAAAAAAAAACGAGGACGGGGTTCGTGTCATGACAGGTATACTCTTTCTCTACCCTACTGGGCATACAGCACCGTCCCCCGTACCCGCCGCCGGGTCGGGTGGTCGCCTTTCTGCTCGTGTGAGGCTCGTGGTACTTTCTGCTTTCTGTTTGTTTTGGTGGCAACAGGGACCCTCGCCGCACGCGCGCGCGCGCGCACACACACACACACACACACACACACACACGCGCGCGCGCGCGCGCGTGTACTTGGATCTCGTTATCCAGCTGATCAAAGCGAGAGCGGCGGTCACCTCGGATTGCACAGGCGGGTCCTGCTGCTGGTCCGGTGTGTGATGAGGGTGCGCGGTGGTACAAGACTTCCCAAAGTAATTAATGCGACTAAAACAACAACAACGACGGCTTTAAAAAAAATAAAAAAAAAATAAACAAGCAAGGTGTGCAAATGCATGGGTGCGCGGCGTAACAATCGCGCGACGGCAGACACATAACGAGCTGCGAAATTAACGCCGGAGAAACAAACAGACTGTAGGAAACCAAATACAAATAAAACAGCAGAGATGTCATTTATACCCAACATTTGCCTGGAAACATTTCCGAGCTGCCGCCCTGAGGTAAAAACCAATAGGCAACACGCCAGCGCCGTAAAAATAATGTTGTGCATTAACAGTGAATTTTTTGTCGTAAAGTTTTTCAATGGCATGCTTTTTAAGAGAGATCATCCAGCCAGTACGTCCGTCATTCGCTGTTAACAAACTCACCTGCCAAGTTGAAACACAGCCAGCTGTCAGGGTGCCTGGTAGGTAGGCAACATCTGGCTTGCAGTGCACGCGTGTACCGCGGGGTGGCCTACCCCGAGTCTCGCAGGCGCCTATAGCTCCGCCGCCACTGGCCGAGCAAAAATCTGAGAGAGAAAAAAAAGGAGGGTCGTGGTTTCTTAGAAATAGGGGAAAAAAGAGGCACGTGCACCCGAGTGTTTGACAAATAACAACGCGGGCCGGCACACACACCCAGGCACAGCTGCTCGCAGAGTGACAGCGGGGCAGCAGGGGTTGGGTTTCGCAGTTCCGCTGCAGGCCCCAGGCGGAGCAGCCTGCCGTAACGGCTCGCCATCCCTGGAATAGCTCCAGGCGCCCCAGGCTCCAGAGACACCAGTAGTGCCGGGGCTCCAAGATAGCGGGTCACCGACGACGCAACGACCATCACGCTACCTCATAATACGACGACGTCGTCGTGAAAGACATAGAAAGCTTCCGACAGATCCGCGAAGCGCGGATTCCGGTCGCTCTTTTCCGACTGACCTCGCTGTCGCATATACCCCTGACGCTCTCCCCCGGCACTCACTCCAATTGCAGTTCAGCACGCAGTTTTCTCTCTCTCTCTCTCTCTCTCTCTCTCTCTCTCTCTCTCTCTCTCTCTCCCCCTCTCCCTCCCTTCCTTCTTCCACCATTCTCGCTAAAACACGTCATTTACTTTCCTCTGATTTTTATTTTTCTCTTCCACCCCTTTCTCTTCATGTTACAATGAAGCTAAATCCGGCCAGATGGGATGAGATGGCGGTGGGTGGTGATCTCGAAATCCCAGTAGTAGTATGGCTTGGCATGTCGCGGCATTGCGGAGCCTCCTAGCTATGGGAGGTCCCTTCCGAGCCCAGGGCCGGGGCGTCGTGTTCAAGGTCGGAGAGCGAGTAGTCCCATTGCCAGAAGGTCACGGTCGCGGCCGCGGTCGGGGTGCAGCGTGACGAAAGTAACGCGCACCGAACAGTATGTGACGGGCGATTACACCACTTCCATTACCACCCACACGCACATTGCTCGCGTGTCACATACTAACGCCGTGCTGTACTTATACTCTCTCGTACACTGAGGGGGTGTAATATCGCAAAGTTTGTAATTTGCACACGCGTGTCCTTATTGCAAGGA